ATAAATGTGGATTTGTAACCCAGTATCACAGCAAGTACATAATCCTGGTAAATAGGAGCTGTCCCTAAAGTCAGTCAGAAGAGAGATATAAAGAAATATGAGTGGACCTAAGAAGAAAGGATATGGATATAGGCAATCTTTTTCTGATATAGGAGTCAGGGTATGGCAAATTGGCTAGGAAAATGAGTGGGACCTGTCAACTACAAGATCCCAGGGCAAGATATGCAGAACTTCTGGGGAGCTCCCATGAGATGTGGATAGCAGAAAAGAAGACCATCTGGATGTCCCAGGAATCTCACACCCTATTTCCCAGATGCAGTGTTTACTTTTATTTTTGCTTTTACCTTCTTTTTCTTTTGTTCAGCCTAAGTTTGCCCTGCAGAGCTAGTTTCTCCCATACCCATTCATCCTTCGCTTTTCAAATAGACTTTTGGCACTGTTTTTTGGCATGTCTCATCCACTTCTTTGTGCTAGGCAAGAAGGACCTAGAATACTTATGATTGGTGAGCCATTTGTAAAAAAAACTACCTGATAACAGTACTAGGATTGAATTCCTTCATGTGGAACTACATGCTCCACCTGTAAAAATATTTTTTTTAATTGACAAAATTTTATTACAACACTGTCATTATTTTATATTATTATCACCTCCTAGAAGTAAATTTATTCTTAAAACAGATTCATTCAGGCTGTTTTGACTGAGTAACCATTATAATTAATAATCAATAGAGCTTCAAAAAATTAGTGTGAATTTTGTTTTTTTATATTTGCATAAAATTATACAAAGCCTTAGATATCCTTTAAGATGACTATGGAGAAAAATGATATGGCTTGTTTTCTTGAATAATATGCACAAGATTTTCCTTGTTTTTCAAAAGTAAAATTGGTGCAGCACTACTGAGCTAAATCTCAGGCTTTACATTTCATATTTTAAAAATTTATCAACACACTAATCTTTGTCTTTATATGTTGGTCTATCAAATTGATGAATTATTTTGGTTCTCGTTTTCTTTGTTTTTTTATTTGAGAATTTATGAAATCTGTATATATGAGTAGCATGAAAAGTATTAAGGTCCATCCGTCATTCTTCTCTCTCAACTCTGCCTTCTGTAAACTTCCTTTTCTGTCACTACAGCTTGTTTGGTTAGAAATTTGTTAAGACAAATTTTGTTATGTTATCAATATATCTTTGTACCTATTTTCTACTGATAACGAATATTAATTAAGTAAATTTTTTACCATAACTATACTTAAATAAATGGATAATAAATCATTAATATCATTCAGTATCTGGTACATATTACAAATTCTCCAACTGCCTCAAACATATTTGTTTTTCTCAAATCACACAAATCACAAACATTCCACACATCACTGCACTGTTTTATTATACCAAAGTATATATTGTACTGTAGAAAATATGCACCGTGTATATGTGTGGGGGGTACGTTTTTACACATATGTGTACACTATTAAATGAGAAACATGATCATGAATGCGGTAGGATTTTGCACATTTGGCATATTGGTAGTTTCTCTGGCAACCTTATGATTTCTCTAAATTAGATGCTTGATTTAATTCATAGTCATTTGTTTGGGAAGAATATTAAATATGTATTGGTGTTAAATTCTATCATTATTCTTATAAAAATATAATAAAAATAAGTATGAGATATAATAAAAAAGAAACAGAAAAATGAGATCTTAAAAATGTGAACTCTTTTAGTTGTTTTTGGATTTCAAATATAAGTATATTTCTTTTCTGTGGGAAGTTTTGTTAGAAAATGTAAGTGATACAATCAACAAGCATATTATATTTATCAAACTAATAAGACCAGGCAGTTTATAAATCAAAAAATTTTGAGGACAGTTTCTCAACTATAATATGTAACTTTGTTTTATTTGTAAATACAGTATTTCAAAAATATTATACAAAAAGAAAATGAGAAAGAACATATAGTGTTTGAAGATCATGTCAAACTAATAATGTATTTGGATTATCAGTCTGTGTTGCATAAATTTTTATTTCATATCTTTTTTTGCTGTCATATATATATGTATATTTGAAATTTTTATTTAGTATCTTCATTTCTTGTTGTCATGTATGATTGCAATCTTTTAAAAAAGAGCAAATCAACAAATCTAATGCTACTATGTAAATCTATCCTAATGGTTCTTCCAAAGTAAATTTCTATTTTTGATAAGGGTAAACTTCACTTATATATGGAATTTAAGCTGTCAAAATTATAGAAGTAGAGAACAGAATGTTTTCCAAGAGCTGACAAAAGGACAGGAGATACATGTTGCTAACTTTCAGTGATAAGATGAGTAAATTCTGGGGAACTAATAATGTATAGCCTGATGACTCTAGTTATTAATACAGGATTATGTACTTGAAATTTGCTGAAAGCATGGATATTGTGTTTTTCTTACTATAAAAAAGATAAAGACATGTAATGCTGGATGTTGTAATTAGCATGATTTGGGTAATGATTTCACAATGTATATGAATATCAAATATCACATTATATATCTTTTTTTTTTTGGTACTGGGGATCGAACTTGGGTCCTTGTGCTTGCAAGGCAGGCAATGGAACCACTGCGCTAAATCCCCAGCCCTCACATTATATATCTTAAAATTTTTAAAAAAGTAAAATTTTAGGCAAATATATCTTTGGCCACTTTGTAGTGTACTAATCTAATTCTTTTTAATTTGCAGGCACAATCTTGCTAAGTCACTAGTTCCCTGGGTAGGCTGCAACTTGTTAGCCTCCCAGAGGGCTGGGATCACAGGTGTACAGCACCACCACATCTAGTAATACAATCTTAAATATCAGTGTATTCTATACAACCTTTAATCTGATTAAAATTCTTAGAAAATGTGAAAGAATGTGTTATCGCTTCAAGTGAAAATTTGGAGATGAAGATAAAATAGTTTTATCCTTGGAAGAGTTATCAATAAGGGGTAAACTGAAGAGTAAAGAAGTTGATGATTTGTAATTAACCTAAGGAGGACAGAACAGAAAGGGAGGCAATCTTTCCCTGACAAGCAGATCTATGTTGGTGAGTGAATACAGCAAGCCCAAGATATAGCAGGCCTCAATTAGGGCAACCAAGAAGAAATGAGAAAAGAATAGAGAAGCCTTACTTTGGGTGAAATGTGGTGCTGTTACAGGAAACAGCATGGGCTCATTCTTGTTTGTTGTGTGGAACCCAGGGGAAAGAGGAGGAAGGATGTTATATTCACTGTACCAATTACCCAGAATCTCTCCTGGACTCCACAGGCATATTCCCAATGGGACTCTGAGCTTGGGGAGACAGTAGCTTACATTTAGGGCTTGAATGTTTGGTTGCTTAAATTGATTAAATGGTACAAAAAGAGGTATCTAAAGGAGGGTAAGTTTCTGATAGGCAATAACTAGGTTTTTCTTTCAAGAAAACTAGAACTGAATATGAATTAAAATCATTCGAGGAAATCTAGGGCTATTGATGATCTGAGCTTGTCTGCAAGAAACTCCAGTGTTTTAAAACATTTGTATTTTATCAGGGACAAAATTCACTGTCAAAACCTCATCTCTGGGAAACTGTGCAGCTTACCTATTTTAGGTCAAAGGTATTCCCTAGTGACATTTACATAAAAATTGAATATGAGGGAAAGACTTGTGTTGCACACATGCTGGTGGTAATGGCTTGAATGTGATTTTTAGCCTCGATTCTAATCACATGCCCAAAGATGTTTTAAAGCTAAGAAACCTGGCAGTTTCCATTTCCAAGAACCATGAAGTACTTGAACAAAAGTGGAAATTTAGAGCCCAGCACAGTGGCACATGCTTTTAAACCCAGCTGCTTGGAAGGGTGAGGCAGAAGGATCCAAATTCCAGCCCAGCCAGGGCAGTTTAGCAAGGCAGTCTCAAAAAATAAATAGGGGTGGGAGTGTACATCAGTGGTAGAGCACTTGCCTAGCGTGCACAAGGTACTGAACTCAATCTCCAATACTCCAGGTAGTTCAAGATACCGGGATTTCAGATATGCAAGACTAAATCACGGGTACTTGAGGTATTGTTAGGTAACCATTTCACTGAGCTAAATGGTTGCCTAGCAACTCTGAGAGTGAAAGCAAAAAATCTAAGTATTACACTATAGACTGTTAAATGCATAAAAGGAGCACTTGGTTAGCATGTGCGAGGCCCTGCATTCGATCCTCAAAAATAAAAAGGAAACATGGCAAATAGTATTTACGGCAAAAGTAAAAACAAATATAGAAAATAAGAAGTAAAAAATATCTATCTGTTGAATACAAATCTTACATTTTAGGTAGGTAAAACTACAGCTGAGGTGTAGTTTTCTTTTGTTTTTTTGGTTTTTGTCGTCCCGGGGAAATCAAGCCTGCCCTGCTGAGCAAGCGCTCCACCACTGAGCTATGCTATTATAACCCCGGCCAGGGATCAGGTGTTTGCATGAACAGCTCGGGCCAAGGAGAAAGTTTTCCAACCAGTCTCCAGAATATTTCTGGAGTGGGGCAATGGAAAACAGCCAAAAGATTTCTGATTAACCAAATCCTCCCCAAAGAAACTCTCCTCGGGCTGTGAGCGTCTCAACGTAGTAGGTCCCACTAGTGGCCTCCACTTCAGGCCTCAGAGAAGTGGCGGGCGCTCCTGGTGGCTAGGCAACGGTCCTCGCATTCTCCGCTGTTAGCCCCGCCTTTTGAGGCGCTTCCGCCACAGCGCGCCTCACAATTCCCCTTGTCATTGGCTAACGTCATGCTGGGGATGGGCGGGGGAAAGGCGTCAGGCTGTGCTGTCACTTCCGGCCCGGGAGCGCGCGGGTTGATTCGTCCTTCCTCAGCCGCGGGTGCTCGCAGCTCGGAAATGGCGGGTAAGTTCCCGGGAAAAGTTTACCAAGGGGAGGAGGCGGGCAGACACGGGGAAAAATGCTGAGACGGCGGTGACAGTGCCCGCCTGGAACTTTCGGGCTCTCGCCTGGGTTCCAGAAGGCCTGCTTTAGTCGGGGAGCGTGGAACTCCGAGTCTAGCCGTTGCTCGCTGCGGTCCGCGCCCCCGCCCCCATCTGCTCGGGGTTCTGCGGTCTGAGAACTGCCCGATCCCTCCCGAGGGCCGGGAGCCGAGGCAGAGCGTCGAGGTTTGGCTTTGGAAAGATAAAGAATCCTTGGGCCTGCTTTTTTTCCTGTTCTTTTGGCTACCTCAGCTCTACCACATCTGGTCCCCCCGTCTGCTGATTTTAAAGCGCAAATCCTTCAGGTCTCTGTCCACCTTCCACCACAGACAGCTTCGGAGCCGGCTCTTTGGAGCAGTCTATCCCTGCACTGGGACGGGATCTTGACAGTCTGGAACCGTCTTCTTAATCTCTTAACACTTTAGGGTACCTAGGATCGTAGATGTCCCGTGAAAAACACGACGTTCGAGCACCTTTCCTTCATCTAAACGTCTCTTTAAACTTTTACTATAATCTGTTGTGTTCTACTCTGCGCTCTTTATTATCTTACGCTTACAACGTTTAATAACTTAAAACTGCTATTACTTTATAGTTATATTGAGATTGTTTAGTGTGTTTATTTTTTTCAAATTACCTGTCTTTTGAAGTGATTGGGCAGTTTTAAAAATATTTTTCCTCCAGTGCCTTCGTACTAGGGTCACTGCACGTTAAACCTTTCACTTTTATAAGTATACTGGATAGATGAGCTGTAGCATAAATCTACAGATGTTAAAGGAAGGAATGTTCTGTCAGAGACCTTGGGGTATGCTGGTACCACAAAAGGAACGTATGTACTGTATGTACATATTTTTAAAAATTACATCAAAGTTCGTATTATAGCACCATCACTTAGTAGTTGGGTGTCTTTCAATTTATTTATTTATTTTTGTAGCCTTTTTTGGTTTGGGGCTAAAATCCAGGGCCTCCACACTGAGCTATGTACATTCCCAGCCTTTACATTTTTTTTTTTTTATTTTGAGACAGGGTCTTATTAAGTCTTCTAGCCTGAGCTCAAACTTGGATCCTCCTCCTTCAGCCTCCCAGAGTACTGGGATTACAGGTACACACCACTATACCATACTACCTGCAGTTTTGTTAAGTAGGTGTTTTATCAACTCAGTTTCATATTTAAAACCTCAGGTTTAGGAAAGAAGTGTGGCGGAGCCATGCCCTGTGTTCAATTCCCAGTACAAAAAAACAAAACTAAACTAAACTAAAACCCACAGAACTGTGGGGATTAAGTTAACATATGATTGATTTCACATACAGTATTAGATTGTGTTGCTGAGGTTATACATAAATTCCTTGAGGTAGTTTCCATAATGTTTGTTTTGTAGATTAGGGTCAGAGAGTTTTAGTAATGTCTCTAGTTCATAGAACAAGTAAGTAATAGTGAAGCCAGGAAGGCCTGGATTTGAATCGAGAAATTGTTTCCAAATCATTAATCTGTACCGTCTCATACCTTCCCATTTCCTGTGTGTTTTAGCTATTTTTTGAAGTTTATGGATTGTGTTCCTTTTCTATGTTCTGCTCTGTTTTTTGTTTTGTTTTGTTTTTTAAGATGAGATTTTGCAATATTGGCCAGGCTGGTCCCGAACTCGGGCTGAAGTAACCCCCCACCCCACCGCAGCCTCCTGAGTAGTTACTACAGGCCTGTGACACCAATCCCAGCTAATGTTTCTTTCCTCAGTTTTTATGATCATTTTGTCAGGAGATTTATTGTCATTTACCTGGAAGTTTTCTCTTGATAGTGGTTTATTCTGGTGTTACTTGTTATATATATTTATGGATATCCACTATGTAATAAAACCATTTGGTTGTTCTAGTGGCCCAGATTTATGACTATGCATACGTGGTAAAAAAAAAAAAAAAGTTTTAATACACTGGAAAGCTTTTTCCTTCTTGCCCGTCCCTATTCTTATTCTAACTAACCATGGTTATCAGTTATTTTTGTATTCTTTTTGAGGTAATCTATACATTATCAGTTTTTTAATAGCTATTTTACATCTCTCTGGGTTGAATTTGCTCAGTATTAGAAATGAAATGCTATTGGAATTATGGAAGAACATTCTTGGTTTCGTATATCTGATAATAGAATTAGTGACATCCTTTAGCATTATTTTTTCATTTTAAAAATTATTTTTCATTTTCATTTTTTGGTGCTGGGGATTGAACCCAGGGCTTCATGCATGCTAAGTACATTCTGTACTACTAAGCTACATCTTCAGCCCTCTATTTCTTTTAAAGGGCTACTTAGATATAAATCATAGCAAGTAATTTGTGTCAGTATTAAATGTTTGACAACTATTAGTATATTAATTTTCATGCTTATTTGTGTAAAGCATTCATAATTCATGAACTCCAAAGATGTTCTTTTAATTCATGTACTCTTATGATCTATGGGCACATTCAAATTGTTCCACTTCTAGTAAGAACGCTACTTGTAGCTGGGCATGATGGCACACACCTGTAATGCCAGTTCTCTGGGAGCCTTAAGGCAGGAGGATTTCAAGTCAGGCCCAGCCCAGCTACTCAGCGAATTAGTGAGACCCTGTCTCAAAATGAAAACTAAAAAAGGCAGGGCTGTAGCTCTGTTTGAAGGCCCTGGGTTAAATTCTGAGTACCACCAAAAAAACCCAAAACAAAAAGCACTACTTGTTTGTTTGCTTTTTTTTTTTAATACTACTTGTATGTTACACTGTTCAAATTATTTGCAACCAAACATTTAAAAATCTTTTCTTTTAGGATTTGGTGCTATGGAGAAATTTTTGGTAGAGTATAAGAGTGCAGTAGAGAAGAAACTGGCAGAGTACAAATGTAACACCAACACAGCAATTGAACTAAAATTAGGTATGTATGCTATTTCCAAGTGATAATATGTGTGTGTACTATGTATATATATCACTTTCATTCCCCCATCACCACCCTTGTCCTGCCCTCCCCACTAGTTTCACATTGTGGGAGGGTTCAATGTGTGTAACACATTTTGATTGTATCCATTCCCCATTATGCCCTTTAAACCGCTTGGTGCGCCCTCTTATTCTTTTCCTCTTGTCTAATAAAAGTCTGCCTTTTACTTTCTTGTCATCTTTTTTTAGACTCCATACATTAGGGAGAACTTGTGATATTTATCTTTATGTGTCTGGCTTATTTTATTTAACATGATGGTCTCATTCATCATGATCCATCTGTTTTTATTCAAATGACAAAAGTTTGTTCTTTATGGCCAAATAATATTCCACTGTATATACATGCCACATTTTCTTTATCCATTCATCTGTTGATGGGCTTCTAGGTGGTTCCTTATCTTGGCTATTATGAATTGTGCCATAAAAAAACATGAGTATGCAGGTATCCCTATATCTGCTATACTTTTACTTTAAAAAAGTATAGGCAGGCTGGAGATTTAGCTTAGTGGTTCTGCCACCTGCCTTGCAAATACAAGGACCTGAGTTCCATCTCCAGTACCAAAATAAAATGAAACAAAAAAAAGTACAGGCAAAAGCCTATAAAAGTAATAGACAATAACAAGTGTTGGTGATGGTATGGGGTAAACACTCATATAATGCTGGTGGAAATGTAAAATGATGTACCTATTAGAAAACAGTTTGACAGATTCTTTAAAAAATTAAACATAAATTCTATGACCTAGCAGTTCTACTCCTAGTTATTTACCTGTCCAAGAGAAATGAAAAAACTTGTGTCTATATGAAAACTTGTCTGTGAATATTCATAGGAGCATTGTTTACATTATTTACAATAATTTAAAAAAATGCAAACAGCCAAAAATTAACTGGTGAATGGGTAAGGTATGGTATATATGATGGATTTTTGGGGGGGTGGTGCAATAGGGATTAAATTTAGGCTCTTCATATTAGGCTACATCCCCACCTCTTTTTAAAATTTTAAGATAGTCTTGCTGAGTCTTGCTGAGTCTCCTGGTTAGGCTTGCACTTATGACCCTTCTTATTTAGCCTCCCAGAGTGCCGGGATTACAGGTGTGCACACCACACTTGGCCAATGGAATACTATCTGACAATAAAAAGGAATGAAGTTTTGATACTTATCACAATTTGGATGAACCTCAGAAACATGCTAAGTAGACAGCTGGGGGTTTAGCTCAGTGGTGCCGCTGTCTGCCTCTCAAGTGCAAGGACCTTAGTTTGATCCCTGGTACCAAAAAAAGAAAAAAAGGTAGCCAGACAAACACACCATATTGTATTATTCTATTTGTATGAAGTGTTCAGAAAAGACAGATCCATAGAGACAAAGCAGACCGAAGCAGACCAGTCATTCCCTGGAGCTGGAGCTAAGAAGGGAGAATAACTGCAAATAGATCTGAAGTTTTTTGTGGCAATGGAAATGTTTTAAAATAGATCATGGCATAACTAAATATTCTTTAATTGTACACTTAAGTGAAAAATATATACTCATGAATCCTGGCTCTATTCCTTTCCATGTGTTTGTTTTCTCATTTGTAAAATGGAGTTAATAGTACTTCATAATGGTTATAAAATTTAACCATGAAGTTAAAATTAAACAACTTGATTTATAGAAAACAGTAAATGCTAGCTGCTGTTATAGGAAACGGTGAAAACATAACAAAGGAGCTAACAATATCCTAAATTTTCGCTACACAGAAAATACTGATTTAGATTTTTCTGTGCATACATTATTCTCTAAAACTAGGAGTCTGTTGTATAGGCTGCTTTTCTGTAATTTTAAAATGTCTTGAATATTGTTTTTTGTGACTATATGTAGATCTGTCTCTTGAATTATACAGATTACTATATCATAAATATACCCTTTGGGGATTTGGAGGGTTTCTTTTGCTATTAAAAATAATTTTTAATTAATATCCATTTGCATACCTTTATCTGTTTATATTTTGATAGAATGTATAAGTACATACTGAAATGCTAGGACAGAGTTTTTCAATTTCAGCATTATTGACATATTGGGTTAGATTTTTTTTGTTGCAGGGGGCTCTCCGATGCATTATATGATGCTTAACATCCTATTGCTGGAGCTCCAGTGGCGCAATTGGTTAGCATGCGGTACTTATTTAACATCCTATTGCTAGTCTCTACTCACTAGATACCAGTAACACTTTATATAATGATGAACCTCAAGCTTCGAGAAAAAGAAGAGCAAATCAAGCCCAAAGCTTATACAAGGGAGGAAATTATAAAAATTAGAGCAGAAATTAATGCAACAGAGACTAAAACAACAATACAAAGAATCAATGAATTGTAGAGTTGGTTCTTTGAAAGATTATATAAAATTAACAAACCCTTAGCCAACCTTTTCAAAAGGAAAGACTCAAATCTATACAAATTAGGAACGAAAAGGGTGAAATCACAACAGATTCTGCTTAAATCCAGAAGATCATCAATACCTACTTTAAGAACCTGTATTTAGCTGGGCGTGGTGATGCATGCTTGTAATCCCAGCATTCAGGAGGCTGAGGCGGGGGGATTGCTGTGAGTTCAAGACCAACCTGGGCTACATAGTGAGTTCCAGGTCAGTCTCAACTACATAGACCCTGTCTCAAAAGAAAAAAAAAAAGGAACCTGTATTTAATAAGATGGGGGCTGGGGATCTGGCTCAGTGGTTCATGTTCTTGCCTCACAAGTGCAAGAACCTGAGTTTGATCCCCAGTACCAAAAATAATAATAAGATGGAAAATACAGAATAGATACATATGAATTACAAAAACTGAATCAAGAAGATATAATTCTAAATAAACTAATATCAGCCAATGAAACTGAAGATGTAATTAAAAAGAAACAAACTGATAGTCAATAATATTATTTTATCACCAAAAAACATTCTACTCAATCATAACATCTTAGTAGACAGAGCTTTGTTTTACCCATTCAGTCCTTACACCTGGCATTTCTGATTTTCTTCACCAATATTAGCTTTGCTTATTCCAGGACTCTTCTTTTCCTTCCTTTCCTTTGCTTGCTTTTTTGGTGGGGGGTGCTGGGAATTGAACACATTCATTAGTAACTACATGCATTATCCTTGAAATACATCCTCAACTGTGTTCTAAAACTTTTTATGTACTTTATGATTGAGCATGTATTTTGGAGAATGTCCCATGTATAGCTGAGAATGTGTATTCTAATGTTGTGGGGCAGAACAGTCTGTAGACATCTGAATCCATTTGTTTAAAACTTTGGTTCAGTTTTGATATTTCATTGTTGATTTTTTTGTTTGGTTGATCTGTCTATTTGTAACAATGGAGTATTGAGGTCCTCCATTTCAACTGTATTAGTGCTTATTTAATTTTTCATGTCCATTAATATTTGTTTTATACAGTTGGCTGCACTGCTATTTGGTACATATGTATTTTATGATTGTTATCTCTTCCTCTTGGATCATTCCCTTTACAAGGTTGCAGTGACCTTCTCTGACTCTCTTAATCAGTTTTGGCTTGAAATCTACCTTCTTCACAAACAGAATAGCTACCCCTGCTTTTTTCTAGATTCACGTGGCATGGAATATTGTTTTCCACCCCGTGACTTTAAGTCTATGAATTTATTTTTTAATTAAATGTGTTTCTTGTATGCAGCATTTGTTGGATTTTGCTGCTTTTTGGTTTTTTGAGACAGGGTCTCACTATGTAGTTGAGACTGATCTGGAACTATGTAGCCCAGGCTGGTCTCGAACTCACAATAATCCCCCTGCCTCAGCCTCCTGAGTGCTGGGATCACAGGCGTGCACCACCATGCCTGGCAGATCTTGCTTCTTGATCCATTCTGCCAGTTTGTTTCTTTTGAATGGTAAATTGAGACCATTAATATTGATGGCTATAACTGATAATGTATTGTCTTATCTCTGTCATGTTATTTTCCTGAAGTTGGCTTCTTTCTTTCCTTTTCTGTTTAATTTCTTGCTTTTCCTGGTGGATTCATTCTGTTGGAGTTCATGGAGTTGTAATACTTTCATCTCTTTCTAGAATATACCCTTCAGAACACGTTGAAGTTCTGGTTTGGTGTCATGAATTTCTTCAGGTGTTCTTTGTCATGGAAGTATCTTATTTGGAAAGATAGTTTTGTAGGATAAATCGGTCTAGGTTGGAGGTTGGTTTTTTTTTTTTTTATTGCTTGAAATACTTCACTCTAAGCTTCCTTGATTTGAGGTTTTGTGTTGAGAAGTCTGCTGTGATTCTGATGGGCTTTCCTTTATAGTTGATTTTTCTTTTCTTTAACAGCTTTTAATATTCAGTCCTTGTGTTGAATTTTTGGAATCTTGACTGTTATATGCCTTGGTGCATTTTATTTGTTTGGCTAATTGGAATTCCATATGCTTTACTGATCTGTATGTCAAGTTCTTTTTCCCTGTTAAAGTTTTTCTGCCATTACTTCTGTGACTAGGTCTTTTAGGTTACTTGCACTATCTCCTGCTTTTTCATTGACTTATCATTCTTATGTTATTCTTCTTTGCATCATCTGGCAGCTGCTTGATTGATTTCTTGTGGTTCTTTGCTATTTTTAAGAAATCTTTCTTTTCATGATTGCTAACTGCAATCTTGTCTTCTGTGTCTGGTATTCTGTCCTCACATTGGCTCATTTGCTGCGTATACTTTTCAGTGGAGCTTTTAATCTACTGGATATCTGTTTGACTCTGTTTTGTGGATTCCTTTTCGTTCCTATGCTGGGCATTCATAGTTTCCATCGTTTTCTGAACTTTTTTTTTTTTTTTTTTGTACCAGGGATTGAACTCAGGACCTTGTACTTGCGAGAGGCAGGTGGTGGCACCACTGAGCTAAATCCCCATCCTATTTTTTTTAATCTGTATCTGCTCTAGAGTCACTAAGTGTGTCTTTCATTCTGGTCACC